AGACATTGACTTCCAACCCTGGAGCACATATCAGAGTCAGGCCTATGAGCTCTATCTCTATGGCAATCCCACCAACGAGGCAGCCCAGCCTTGGGCGGACTGGATCTCCAAAACCGAGCAATATCTACTACAAGAACACCCGTGGGCAGCCCAAGGAAGAGGGACCAATCTCCAAGCTATCAAAAAAACCCTTGGTTGCAACCACACACACTCAGACTTGGAAGAAGGGCAAACCAGCCTTTTGGGAGCAGCTCAAAGCACGTTTCCAGCTAGCACAAAAACAGCCTGAGGGCATCAACCATGGCCCTGTCAAAGGTTTCATGCAAGCCATCATGGGGCCAGTTTTTGGACACACCATTGGCACAAGTACAGAGATCCCCATGCAGCAGATCTCATGCTACAGAACATCAACCATCAACTTACAGAAGCACAACAGCTTGCCAATGATGAAAACATGCGCCAATACCAAGAATGGCTTAAAACCGGACAGCAAAAGGGACTAAGGGGCCTTTTCCGAGGACTCAAAAGCAGTGAGCTTGCTTGGCAGAGACCGTACAGGCATGTCCCCATGCCAGAGAGAATGAACCACCGGCTCAAGGATTGGGGTGACCTATGGGGCATCAGAGAAGATAACCATGCCCATCCACGACCGAGCCTACAACTGGAAGCACAACAACAGGCACAAGAGCTTGAGCCTATTACAATAGGCCAGCTCAGTCGAGTCCTCAAGGGCCTGCCGGATAAAGCCAGTGGGCCAGATGCGGTGTCAACTCAACTACTCAAAGCAGCACCACCGCTCTCCCTGGCACCACTGCTCCAACTGTACCATGCCATGGAAGCCCAGGCAGAATTGCCAACGCAACTGCAAATGCATCTCGTGTTGATGTTGCCCAAGAACCAGTCCATAGAGAGACCAATAACACTCACGTCCACCCTTTGGAGGACTTGGTGCAAACTGCGCAAGCCGTTGTTGGACCAATGGCAAAAAACCTTGCCAGCAACAATGGCCCATGATCGTGCAAGGCCAGGAGCCAATGTCCTGCATGTGGCACTTGAACGACTCTTGAGGCAGGAAGTCCATCGAGCAAGAGGCCTGCGTGGAGTCACGGTTTTGATGGACATGTCAACCTTCTATGGCACGATCAACCTCAGCCGGCTCCAAGAAGAAGCAATGAAGCTGGGTTATCCACAGCTGATGCTTGAGCTTGCAATGCAGCTGTACACTGGCCCCAAGGCCATCTCAGCAGAACAAGAGTTCACGCCTTTCTTCCGAGTCGGTCAAGGCATACCAGCAGGATGCCCAAAAGCACCACTTTTGGCAAAAGCAGTCTTAGCGCCAGCCCTCATCCCATGGAAACAACAACATCAAGAAGTGCACTTGTCGAGTTGGGTTGATGATGTTGGCTTTGACACCCATGGCAGAACACCCATTCAGGTTGCCCAAACCGCCATTGAGGCCTGCCGCAACCTCCACGATCGACTGGTCAGGCTTGGGCTCAAGGTCAATGCCAAAAAGACCGCTTTCATAGCCACAGCAAGGCAACTGACAGAGCCCTACGAGACCTTCTTCAACCCCATGAACCCCAAGTGGCTTCAGTGATGAGGGATCTTGGCATAGATCACCAAGCAGCAAGAAGGAGACGTTTTCCAGTCATGAAGCAGCGTTTTGCCAAAGCCCACCAGAGGAAACTCAAACTCAGGTCGCTGAAGATACCCTCATTGAAAGTGAGACTCCGGTTACACAAGGGTGGAATCCAGCCTGTTGCCCTATGGGGTTTGGAAGCTCAGGGCCTGGCGCCAAGATACCGTACAGCTCTGCGCACAGCCCTGGCCACACAATTGGATTGGGTCACCACAGAGGAGGCACACTGGATGCAACATACGACATCCACAGCAACAAGTACCTTGATCCGGCTGATCAAATCGTCATCCACCACATCAGAGCCCTCCACAATCTCTACCATGCATGGCCAACTGATCAGATTCCACACTTGGAACAAGCTTGGCAACAGATCCATCAACAGTTGACCCACCCATGGTACACTGTGAAAGGACCGCTAGCAGCCACCATTGCCTATCTGGCAGAGTGGAAATGGCAAGCCACAGTTGGAGAATGAGATCAGCATACAAGACCCTTGGTGGAAGATCGAAAAAGCATTGCTCCTTGAAGCCAGGAGCCAAAGGATCACCAGGTTGGCACAGCGGCAACACCACCAGCACCTCCTCACCGGGCTGGATTGGCATGTATACCGACAGCAGATCAAGCGTTTGCCAAAAGAGCATCGAAACCACCTCAAAACATGGGCCCAGGGTGCCATACACCATAGAGAGAATGGCAAGCCAGCACATTGTGTGGATGTGCAAATGGCACCATGCACGCGGCCACAAAACCCATGCCTCCCGAATGGGCAGAAAGGCTCACTCAGCATGACGAGGAGCCCCTATGGAATGCTGGCTGGACACCTCTTGAACCACAAGAGCACAGGCAACTCCAGCGCCAATGCCAAGGGCATGGCACATGGCAGGATCTTCCTGTGCTCCAGCCGCACCACTACCAAGGTTGGGCATTCACCTTAGATGCCACGCCGTCCACCTATGACCCGAGAAGCCAGCTTTGGGTATTCGGACTCTGTGTACACACTCTGCGCGTGGGACAATGGGTATTCGGACTCTGTGTACACACTCTGCGCATGGGACAACTGCACAGACTTGGTGCAATAACAGGAATTCCAACACACCCGCAGACCAAAACACGGGCGTTGGTGGCAGGCCTGCCAAATACACAAGCACTGCAGTGAAGGTCATAGTGCAGGTTGTTGCAGTTTGGGAAGCTTGGACACACCCAAAACAAAGAGAGTATTACCAAGAGCTGTATGAAGCCCTGACCGATTCTGACTTCCAGCGTGTGACGGTACTATATGTCAGCAAGAACACACGCACACCAGATACTCCTGGCAGTGAACCACATCTTCAACGACGCCAGAGGGATGCGGCATTAGTTGCATGGGAAAGAGCAGATGCCCTTCATGACAGGAAAGCCACTGAATGGCAAACTGTACTCGACAAGGATCACGCAGAGATCTACAAACATGCTGCAGCAAGACTGGCTAAGATCTACTCAGACAAGGAGCACTATCTCCACCAGAAGGCCCCCAGACATCAAGGACGGCAAACCAAGCAGCACAAGAAGCAGCTCGTCCAACACTGCCGCAAGCCCTGGAAAGCACCTTTCCACAGATGGCAACCACACAGGAGCGGCTACCAATGCAGTGCTTGTGGGAACGTGTACACCAAGCCCTCACAGCCACAACAATTGAAGCAAGGCTGGAACAGGTGTGCCTCAACTTCAGATTGAGGAGAGCTATCCGGAGCACCACAGCCCACACAAGCCAATCCAGAAGAAACTCACCAGAGCCCAGGTCATTGCTACCCTCTTGGCCAAACAGTCAGCCCAACAATCTGACAGCCAGCATACCCTGGAGGAAACCAAAGGGTATCTGAAGTGCACCAACTGTGGCATCAGTGTGCACAAGCGCACCAATGAAGATGCATTTCAGGCTTTTGTCCAAGGCACATGCATCAACGGGCCCTATGACCAGCCCCATCCAGGTCATGCCAGCCACATTTTGTGGCAAAGAGGAGACCGCTTGCAGTGCAAGAACTGCGGCACACAAACACAGACAGATGCCCAGCACAGGCCAATTCTTACCAATGCCCTCCAGAAGAGCTGCAAAGGGGCAGCTATCAGCGGCTCACCACCGATCACTGAGCACACAAAAGGCAGCCCCAGACACAACTCAGAGCACTGCCCCACTACCGGATGGCCATGATACCCAGCCTGTCGCTGGCGCTGGCGCTGGGCCAAAGAGCCGTCGATGAAGCGGTACAAAAGAACCTTTAGGAGAAAACTATACATACATACATACATTACATTACATTACATTACATTACATTACATTACATACATACATACATACATACACAGATTCGATGTATTGTATGGGAATCTATGGGGGTGAAGTACCGGAACCTGTGCCGAGCCTGCAAGTTGCTCTTCAAAAAAAGGTTAGTTAAGAGTGGGGTAAAATCCCAACACATGAAACCAAGTTCGGTAGTTTAAGTCTGGTGTCAGAAAGCACCCTGTTCCTAGATTTCACGTGCAGCGACACTTCGTGATACATCACGGCCGCCCGAACCAATCCTAGTCTTGATTGGGGTCGATCAGCAAAGATGCTCTCTCATCACTCTTTGGGGAAAGCAAAAGAGATCAAAAGAACTGATGACTCGAAGAAACCACATTGGACCATGAAGAAGAACCACAAAAAACCTCAACTTGGAAGTGTGAGCTTGTGGGAATAGCCAGCGGTCCATCTTGAAGCCGGAAAAGACTCAACAACGAGTCAACCCTCTTCTTCACCAAGCCAGGATCCAAAACGGCTCAGCTCGACTCAGCTCGACCCCCCCCAACCGGCTGCTCTGGGCAGCCCCCCGGACCAGGCTCCCCGTCGACCAGGGCAGTGTCTCCATCTCCTCCGACCATTGGGACCACTCCGAGGGTCCCACTTCATTCACGGCAAAGGCCTCGGGCGGCGGAGTGGAGCGACCGGACGCCCCGGGTTGCGGATCACTATGGTATATATATACCATTCCTGGTAAGAGTGGAGGATGATGGTTAGAAAAAGGCCTCGGCCTCTAAAATAGGACCCTCGCCAACAAAAGCACAAATATATATATATATATATATAAACACGACCAGTCGGATACAAATCCGACGGCCTGACCAACGGAGCGGATATCAGCGAAATCCATGCACTTGCGCATGTGCGGTGCCTTCAAGGCGGTGCCTCCAAGGGTCAGGTGATCAGAAATAACCTTGCAACATCTTGCAACTGGAGAGCCGCACCATTTTCATGTGCTTGCCTGTTTCAATAGTTGAGTCGTGTTGAGTCTGGGTCTTCGAAGCACTGCCTTTTTCCCTCTGGCTCTACCGGGAGCCCACCGGTGGTTCCCGCTTCCCCGCGGGGTCAACTCCTCACGGCCTCACGAGGGCGGCGTCTTCGGTCTTCGGTCTTGAGGCGGTGGCCCTGAACTGGTAGGTGTGACCAGGGCCTCAGGACGTGGCCGCATGGTTTCACCATGGCAGCGGTTTGGCCGCACCACAAGAAAGGATGGACACGGCGTCCTTTGAGCTCTTGCGAGACCTCAATAGGTTTATCAAGTCTGTCTCTCTCTCTCTCTATCAAGTCTATACGATACTGACATATACTGACAAAGTCTTTGCTGCCGAATGCTCCAGTAAACAAAAACACACACTGAGCCAGCCAATGGCTTGCTTTTCTGCTCCACCACTGTTTATTGACAATACATGACAATACGATCAACGGGACTAATTCAAGATATGCCAGTCTAAGTCCTAACGAAGTAAATATATACGTGTCTCAAATTGCGCGCACTTTTTCGTCACTTGCTCAAAAAGAAAGGATTCTCGTCATTCTGCTCAATTGAAGCCGGAGAGGCTCTTCCACTCAGCCAGGA